TTTTTTCAAGGATAGCGTTTTGATAAGGAAATGGAAGCTGTCAGATGTTCCAGCTCATGACTGGGCCTCGTGATGAATGAAAGGTTTCTCATGAAACTGTTCTTGCAAATTTATATTGAAAACATGTTTTGAGTTTGGCACATTATACTCCTTTGGTAGGTTATTTGGGTGTGAACAAAACTTATGACAATATTCTGTCCTATTTCTTTCAGCCTAATTTGTGGTATAATGTGGCCAAATTTTGCAAAACCTGCAAAGTATGTCAAATGGTTAGCAAACCTAATCAGAAAATCCCAGCCACACCTACGAAACCCATTCAAGCCTTTGAAGAACATTTAAGCAAGGTCAGCATTGATATGTGTTAGTCCTTTGCCTGAAACTAGCTCAGATAATCAGAACATGCTTACTATCATGTGTGCTTCCACGAGTTGTTCAGAGGCTATTCCTTTTAAGAAAATATTATTATCAAGGCTTTGGTAAAGTTTTTCACTGTAGTTGGTTTGCCTAGGACTATTCAGTCAGACCAGGGCTCTAATTTCATGCTCTTAAAAATTAGGACTTAGTGTTTTGAGACAAAATGATTGGGATGAAGGCATTCATTTGTTGTTGTTTGCTGTGAGGAAGTCAGTTCAGGAGTCTCATGGTCCCAAGTCCTTTTGATCTTGTTTTTGGCCATACTGTTCGTGGGGGCCTGGGTTGCCAAGTCGTCTAAGGCGCCGCAATTCGCTGAGCAGAGTTGCGTCCCTTGGACACGCAAGAAACCTATGATTGTGGGTTCGAATCCCGGTTCGCCCCGATTATGTTTCTAGGTTTGTTAGCACCATTCCCGTGCTCGTTGGTTTCACCGAAGTGGTAAACGTCTGAGACCTGCATCACTTCTGGCTTTCCTCCCACATTACGCTGACACGCCGTGATATAACTGTAATACCGTTAAATGCTGAGTTAAACCTACCTCACTCACCCATACTGTTCGTGAACCTTTAAAACAGTTTGTTGAGGTATGTTTCATTATTTCGGGACAGGCTTTCAAAAGCTTGTGACGTTGCAAGGGGTAATTTGAAAAAAATCCCAGGACAAAATGAAAGTACATTATGACAAAAAGTCTCAAGAGACAGATTTCAGCCCTGGCGATAAAGTTTTGGTGTTTTTTGCCAATCCCTGGACAACCACTACGTGTTTAGGTACCACTCTCCGAGTGTTACTTACAGGAAAGTCAGTGTTACTGACTATGTTCTGCAACCACCAAACCGTCGTAAAAAGACACAGCATGTCAATATGATTAGAAAGTATCATGAAAGAAATGACAATGTACCTAATCAGTGTGTTGCAACTGTTTCTACTGTTTGTGATGCTGATACGAATTGTGACTAAGTGAAGATTGATGACATTGCTGACTATGCCTGCCCTAAACTAAGCAATTTAGATGTTTTAGTTAACGTATAAATCGAAGACAGATTCGGTCAAGCCAAGTACCTATTGAAGGGCAGACTCCACTGACTGAGGGGGCCAAGCGAGTCTCAGCTTTTGTGACTCCAGAATGACTTTATCGACACAAAGTTATATATTTGGGTCTCATCAGCCAATATTGGGGGTGTCCAAGCCTACATCGATGATGCATCACTCATTCCATGGAGTGGGACGAACACTCGAAGAGGATCCGTGCCTTCTTAGAGAGACTCACTGAAGCCATGTTGATTGTAAATTGAGTGACATTTTGTAGGTCATGTCATAGGCAGAGGACAGGTTCAGCCCCAAGGTGGAAGCTATTTCAAAATTCAAAATTCCCCAATTCACCAAGAAGATTACTGGGTATGGCTGGTTACTACCGTAAATTTCGTAAAAATATCTCACAAGTGGTAGCAACTCTCACCAATTTGCTGGGCAAAATGGTAAAATTGTTTTGGGTTGTCATACTGCTTTTCAGAAAATTAAAGCCATTCTCGTTAATTCTCCTGTTCTCCAAGCCTGTTCTCTTCAGATTTGCAGTTGATGCTGGTGACAGTGGTGCAGGAACTTCTGTTGCAAGAAGATGCATACAGGCGTTGATCATCCTGTTTGTTATTATTCACTAAAATTTGGAAATTATTCCACTAATGAAAATGAAATTCTTGCTCCATTGATGGCTTTGCAACAATTGAAGTGTACATGGGCTCTACTTTGTTTCCTATTCAAGTGTACACTGCCCATAAAAAGGAACAAAAAGCAACGCCTCATGCGCTGGAGCTTGTCTTTGCAGGTCTTTGATTTAGATATCTAGCTTATTAAATGCAAAGACAGCATCATTCCTAATGCATTATCACGAGGTGATTCAATGTGAATCAGTTTTGACTGCAACACGATTTGCATTTTTGTACAAATTCACTAATTTTTGTGAAGAAAATCTCATGATTATCATGTATGATGTTTACTATTATGTACTGTACAGTTATTTGTACTTTAATCAGCAAAGAAAGTTCTCACTATGGTCGTTTAAACTATTGTTGAACAATGTTGTGGTTTTATTGCATTGTTTCCGTAATATGGAATCTTCTTGAACAACTAGACTAATCCCGCATGGTGTGGAATCCTCCAGAAGAGATTTAGACTATAGTGGAGCAAGCGTATGCATATCTCATCTCACATCACATCAAGACCAGTTTACATAGCGGTTGTGCGAAGATCATAATTTTGACCCTGGATATCCAGCCTAGGCCTATTTTGGAATCTTGACCACTGTTACTGCTAGGTGAATATTGTTATTTCTGACTTTTTGGTTGTTACTACTGCTATTGTATTTTATACTACCATTGAATTTTGTGACTGTCACTCTATTGTGTACTGCCTTTGTAATTACTTTGCTGTAATTCGTATTGATTTGTAAACCTATAAAATTTTATAATACAATTGATAATTGTATAACATATCTTTGTTATTGTTGGTTTCCCACAGAATCTTTTGCGTATAGAATTCTGGGATAACTTATTATTCTAATTTTGAAGTCGATATGTACGCATGACAATATGAATCATCTCATAGGTTTGCAGAGTTAATATCTTCTCTTATTGATGAATCATGTGACTTGCTTTCAGAGTGATTAACTAATCTTCTTGACATAAATCATGTGAATGGCGTGCAGATTAACATGTGTCGTGTAATTGGCTTACGAAGTAAAGAGCAACATTTCGTGACATGTATTATATGACAAAGCCCAACACTATAGTGACCTTGATCTTCTCTCACACACGCGTTTCCTGTATAGGAGATGTCATGCCGTTCCGGGAACATCTGGTGTCATCTTTAATTTATTATTGATACTTAAATGTGGCCTTTCCATTCATTAGGACTTTGGTTATTTTCTGTGGCGCTAAACCATACTCACTCGCTCACTAACGTACGTACCGTGACATTGAAAGTATAACTATTGTATCAAACGCCGCACTCAGCCATATTTCAGCTATATGACGCCGGGCTGTAAATAACAGAGTCTGGACCCGACAATCCAGTGATTGACATCGTCGATTTTCGCAAATCCATTTTCGACCTGCCCATCCAATCCCGTTAGTCGCCTCTGTGACATGAGTTGCTGAAGACCAATTCTGACCCGGATCTTCACGGTCTATGTTATATCAAAACACGGGCGTCTTCAGGCGATAATTAACTTCAATTCATTCCACGCTGGCTATAATATTCAAGTCATTACAGTTAATAATTCACCATTATCCACGTTATTAAGAGAAACAGTCGCCTACCCAAGTGTTTGACACCAAACGTTATTAACTCAATATCCTTCTCTCGAAATAATTTCAACTACAAAATCTCAAACAAATGATCAACCGCTGGGAAAATTATGTTCTACAAGCACTGTCAACAGATCTGTGCTAACACAACATTCATAAAGCCAAACTGTTCACATAATTGTTCTTCCCCGCGTGTAAAATCGGGAGACTTAGTTACATCGGAGTTTCAGCTCATGGCGAATGTACAATGTCAGCAGGTGACAACGCCCCTAGCGGTGCACGCCCAAACTAGGCGTAACTCTGCCTGGACTCGCCTCGATGGCTCCCTAATGCACTTCATAGCCAATATCATATCATGAAATATTTACAAATCGGTGTCGGAGATAATTAAATTTCACAGCAATCTACCCTAAACACGACTCATCTAATTACAGAGACTCCCTGTGGGTCGGCTCGCCCTGCGTTTTACAGCCGTTTAATTATGCATGTCTGTCTCTTTCTACCCGTCGTTCCTAATTAACTGCGCAGTCTCGTAAAATTAGATTTTTTTGCTTTTAATATTTTACTAGATTTTGATAAGTTGATACCAAATCAGTTTCATCAAGCTCTAAATCGATAACTGGCAATGTTCAATTAACGTGATTCGGACAATTTAACTCCTTGGGCTAAACAGCAGAGAGACTCACGGGGAAGCTTTGAGATGATGGTCGGGCGGGGTATGGGTGGGGGAGGAAACGTTGGCAGGAGGGGGTAGGATTTTGAGGGGTCAGGATGGAAGGAAGAGAGAACGTATACGGATAGGCTCCATAAGAGCGATGGGCACGGGTAGAGGAGGGTGGACGCGGATGGTTGAATTTGCCTGATTTTGTATGGGTTTTTTGTTGTTGCACGATTTGAGTGGGGTGGTTTAAACATATGAAGTTTGGTCATCGGAATCTAGGGATGGGGTATATGTGGGGGAATTATAAATTATGTTTTGGTTGTGGTGACAGTGTGATTACAAATGTCGATATAGATTATTTTCAATATGTACAGGTATCCGATTTTGTTTTCACGAATGGTGCTACCATGAATTAAAAAAATTCATTCATTAAATGGCATTAACATGTTATTTGGCAGGACAATCATTAGACATTATATAAATACCTCCGTATATATTGGACGGCGAACTTTTACAGTATAGCTGAAGCAGAGACGGATCCAGGATTTTAAAAAAGAGGGGTACACATAATAAATAAAAATAATTTTTAAAAAAAGGTGTGTGGGTGCACGCCCTCTGCACAGGCTGCACCCACTCTGTATCCGCTGCGCCCCCTCAGTACCCGCTGCACTCCCTCTGTACTCGCTGCACCCCCTCTGTACTCGCTGCACCCCTCTGTACTCGCTGCACCACCTCTGTACCCGCTTCACCTATCTGTACTCGCTGCACACCCTCTGTACTCGCTGCACCTATCTGTACTCGCTGCACCCCCTCTGTACTCGCTGCACCCCTCTGTACTTGCTGCACCCCCTCTGTACTCGCTGCACCCCCTCTGTACTAGCTGCACCCCTCTGTACTCGCTGCACCACCTCTGTACCCGCTTCACCTATCTGTACTCGCTGCACACCCTCTGTACTCGCTGCACCTATCTGTACTCGCTGCACCCCCTCTGTACTCGCTGCACCCCTCTGTACTTGCTGCACCCCCTCTGTACTCGCTGCACCCCCTCTGTACTCGCTGCACCCCCTCTGTACTCGCTGCACCCCTCTGCACCCGCTGCACACCCTCTGTACCCGCTGCACACCCTCTGTACCCGCTGCACCCCCTCTGTACTCGCTGCACCCCCTCTGTACTTGCTGCACCCCTCTGCACCCGCTGCACACCCTCTGTACCCGCTGCACACCCTCTGTACCCGCTGCACCCCCTCTGTACTTGCTGCACCCCTCTGCACCCGCTGCACACCCTCTGTACTCGCTGCACCCCTCTGCACCCGCTGCACACCCTCTGTACTCGCTGCACCCCTCTGCACCCGCTGCACACCCTTTATACCCGCTGCACACCCTCTGTACTCGCTGCACACCCTTTATACCCGCTGCACCCCATCTGTACCCGCTGCACACCCTTTATACCCGCTGCACACCCTCTGTACCCGCTGCACACCCTTTATACCCGCTGCACACCCTCTGTACCCGCTGCACACCCTTTATACCCGCTGCACACCCTCTGTACCCGCTGCACACCCTTTATACACGCTGCACACCCTCTGTACACGCTGCACACTTTTTGTACCCGCTGCACCCCCTCTGTACCCGCTGCACACCCTTTATACCCGCTGCACACCCTCTGTACCCGCTGCACACCCTTTATACACGCTGCACACCCTCTGTACACGCTGCACACTTTTTGTACCCGCTGCACCCCCTCTGTACCCGCTGCAACCCTCTGTACCCGTCAGTCTGTATGTTTTACGATAACACATGATGTCATTGTGTATAGTAACCACTACAGCTACAACATACTGTACTGGTACAAATATGAATTGTAGTGTGTATATGTATCTGATATGTATTGTTTACCATCTCTTATATTGAAAGACCCGTGAAGATCCGAAGTAGAATAGGTCTTCAACAACCCATGCTTGCCCTAAGAGGCGACTATGCTTGCCGTAAGAGCGACTAACGGGATCTGGTGGTCAGCTCGCTGACTTGGTTGATGCATGTCATCGTATCACAAACAAACAAGAAATGGTTATTCAATGACGATGTATATGATGCGATATAACATACAGCATATCAAGGAGTATCTCACAACAGGTGATGCGCACATGGCGTTTCATGGAACATTGGGTCGCTTTTTCACACTCCAGTAATAAGCAAACTGAAGCAGGTATTGTCATGATCAGTTTGAGCGAAAATGTCATTTGTCCGGCAGTTTTGTTTCTGTTGTCTGTCTTCGGCTAGACGCATTCTTGCTACATCATCAACTGTTAGTTATCCCAACAATCAAAATGACGGCACTGCATCTGCAGAGCGATGATATCTATCCTATCTCACATCCCAGTTATCCGTCAAGATAGAATTATTGCAACGTGTGGTTATCATGCGACGACACACTATATTTCTCTATAAAACAGACTTGGTTATTGCGTGAAACAACATGGTAATTCACAGATTCAAATGACACATTATGCCGGAGGTGGTGCGGTAGCCTTGTGGTTAAAGTGTTCGTTTGTCATGCCGAAGGCCTGGGTTCGATTCCCGTTTGAATACGATATATGAAGCCCATATCTGCTACCCCTAGGTGGTATTGCTGAAATATTGCTAAAAGCTCGTTCACTCGATGTTATTTTCAGATTAAAATCAGTAAAAAAAAAATCATAATTCAAATTATAATTGTGTTTCCTTATAATGTATAAGTAAGATACAAAAACAAAAACAAATATTACACATATTTTGCAATCTTCACATAAAGTATGCGTCCACAACACAAACATTGATGTTACAGCAGGTGGACAACGGGCACCGGACGGGGACGGGAAACGGGGACAATACTGTAACAAGATATCACCATACAGGAACACGGCCCCAGTCTTCCCATTTATCCCTGACAACAAGCACCCGTGAATGTCGCTTCGTCTTTTGACTTTCCTCTCACAACAGTGTGCCGTTACACAGAGATAACAGCCTGCCCCAGCGACGTTCATGAATAGAGAACCACCGTATTTCCTGTAATAGGTGCCCCCGTTGTGCAGTTTTTCGGACGTTATAATAACCCGCGTTTTGTTTGAGGTCCGGCGTAATTTAGGGTGTATCCTTTATTTGGTTTTATAATGGGGATCATTTATCTGCAGTTTTACTACACCCGCCGAGTATTAGAGAGCGAGGGTGTATTAGAGACCAGCGTGCATCAAAGACGGTTTGTATGAGAGACACGGCATGTATAAGTGACCCGGCCTGTAATAAAGACACTGCTTGTAAGAGAGACCCGGTTTGTATGAGAGACACAGCTTATATGAGAGACCCGGTTTGTATGAAAGACATGGCATGTATAAGTGACCCGGCCTGTAATAAAGACACTGCTTGTATGAGAGACCCTGTTTGTATGAGATACATAGCTTGTATGAGAGAGACGGTTTGTATGAGAGGCACAGCTATATGAGAAACCCTGTTTGTATGAGAGACATAGTTTATATGAGAGACCCGGTTTGTATGAAAGACACAGCTAGTATGAGAGACCCGGTTTGTATGAGAGACACGGCATGTATAAGTGACCCGGCATGTAATAAAGACACTGCTTGTATGCGAGGCACGGTTTGTATGAAAGACACAGCTTATATGAGAGAGACGGTTTGTATGAAAGACATGGCATGTATAAGTGATCCGGCCTGTAATAAAGACACAGCTAGTATGAGAGACCCGGTTTGTATGAGAGACACGGCATGTATAAGTGACCCGGCATGTAATAAAGACACTGCTTGTATGCGAGGCACGGTTGGTATGAGATACACAGCTTATATGAGAGAGACGGTTTGTATGAAAGACATGGCATGTATAAGTGATCCGGCATGTAATAAAGACACTGCTTGTATGAGAGACCCGGTTTGTATGAGAGACACAGTTTGTATGAGAGACCCGGTTTGTATGAGAGACACAGTTTATATGAGAGAGACGGTTTGTATGAAAGACATGGCATGTATAAGTGATCCGGCATGTAATAAAGACACAGCTTGTATGAGAGACCCGGTTTGTATGAGAGACACGGCATGTATAAGTGACCCGGCATGTAATAAAGACACTGCTTGTATGCGAGACCCGGTTTGTATGAAAGACACGGCATGTATAAGTGATCCGGCATGTAATAAAGACACAGCTTGTATAAGAGAGACGGTTGGTATGAGAGACACAGTTTGTATGAGAGAGACGGTTTGTATGAAAGACATGGTATGTATAAGTGACCCGGCCTGTAATAAAGACACTGCTTGTATGCGAGACCCGGTTTGTATGAAAGACACGGCATGTATAAGTGATCCGGCATGTAATAAAGACACAGCTTGTATAAGAGACCCGGTTTGTATGAGAGACACGGCATGTATAAGTGACCCGGCATGTAATAAAGACACTGCTTGTATGCGAGGCACGGTTGGTATGAGAGACACAGTTTGTATGAGAGAGACGGTTTGTATGAAAGACATGGTATGTATAAGTGACCCGGCATGTAATAAAGACACTGCTTGTATGCGAGGCACGGTTTGTATGAAAGACACAGCTTATATGAGAGAGACGGTTTGTATGAAAGACACGGCATGTATAAGTGACCCGGCATGTAATAAAGACACTGCTTGTATGCGAGGCACGGTTGGTATGAGAGACACTCATTCAATGTGATTTTTATTCGACGTCTTTATGAGGCAATACGGTTTGGCGGACTAGATTCTAAGCGACAGGTGTACTGCGGCTGCTTATACTGAGGAATAGCACTAGCCACACGGACGCTCTTTGTAAAGTTTACTACCCGCATATTTGATAAAACCATTTGAATGATTTATTATTAGTCAACTGCCGCAGTAGTTTAGCAATGAATTAGCATATCTAACTGATTTAGCCCTGTCTTTATTGGACAAAATGAGTTCAAACAAATATCATGAATATAAACCTTTCATGATGTGGGTGTCATGATTTTAAACACTGCCAGATCAATTTTTCAAACAACAAGATCAGATGCAGCAAGATTCGATTTGTAACGAGAAATGACTTTATTCTTCATGTGCATAGGGGCGGACGTCGGTTATAACAAGGTGCATTAAGAATCTCGTTCATTTCATAATAAACAAGGCGTAGTGCATCTGTAACCACCAGAGTATCGTTTCTTAGGTGAACCAGGATCCTATGCCAAATTCGTACTGATTTTTTTTCTAGATTTGTCAGCACCATACCCGTGCTCGTGGGTTTCATCAAAACATATAATGTGCACGACATCAGGTATTCCTCCAACATCAAGCTGACACGCCGTGAATTAAATTAAATATCGTTCAAAGCATTAAACCGAACAAACTCATTCTCTCATTCGTAATATTTCGTAATATTAGACTGCAATCAATGTTTGTATCGTGTTAATGACAACAAACGATGTTGTTTAAGGCAAACAAAATTACAGTGTGCGGTCTGCAATGTGTCTATGCACAAATACACGAAAGAAAGGTGGATGGCGTGAATTTATCATATGTGAGTGAGTGAGTGAGTTTAACGTCGCTTCAAACAGTATTTAGTCATGTCAAGGAAGGAAGAACAACGTGACACAGGGTTGCCCACTCCAGCGACACCCACGAGTTAAGGTCATTTGCTGTGCATCGGGTACACGGGTGGTCTAGTCGTCGAAAGCGCCGCAATTCGCTGACCAGAGTTGCGTCCCTTGGACACGCCAGAAACCTATGATCGTGGGTTCAAATCCCGATTCGCTCCGATTATGTTTCTAGGTTTGTCAACACCCTACCTGTGTTCGTGGGTTTCACCAAAGTGGCAAATGTCTGAGATATGCATCACCTCGGGTTTTCCTCCCACGTAAGCTGACAGGCCGTGATATGATTAAAATACTGTTAATTACTGTTAAAAGTGGCATACACTGTGATTTGTGGCACCGTAACTGTCTGGTGTATCCCTTGATGTTATGCTGATCTAGAGAACTAGTATAAAGTAAAGACATGCATCTCTCTAGCCAGGTGACAACCACAATAGCATATGAGTGAGTGAGTGAATTGGATTTAACGCCGCTTTTAACAGTATTCCAGTTATATCGCGGCGTGGGAGGAAAGCCCGAAGTGATGCAGGTCTCCGAGGTTTACCACTTCGGTGAAACCCACGAGCACGGGTATGGTGCTTACAAACCTTGAAACATAATCGGGGCGAACCGGGATTCGAACCCACAATCATAGGTTTCTGGCATGCCCAAGGGACGCAACTCTGCACAGCGAATCGCGGCGCCTTAGACGACTGGGCCACCCGTGCCCCCAACAGCATATGGCTCCTATGGGCTCCGCTGTTCCGTTGCTATTTCGATGTGTCAACATTCGCCCCTTTTAGCATGACGCTACTGTCACTCCTGCGGTGAACACCTGATTTACAAAGTGGTCGGAGAGCCCAGTGGGTCAAGCCTTTATTTGTCACGCTGAAGACCAGGGTTCGATCCCCCAGTTGGATACTTTGTGTGAGTTTTTTTGTCTCATGTTGTGATACGACAGGAACAATGCCAAAACAAACCTAACTATATACTACTAAAAAACATCAACCTGATACACCATAAATCACGGATATCTGTTTGTTTCATATTGATTGTTGTTGTTGTTGTTGCTGCTGCTGCTCTTGTTGTTGTTGTGGTGGTGGTGGTGGAGGTGGTAGTGGTGTATTTCATGAAAACATAAACTTAAAATGATCCCACCTGACCGGATCATTTTAAATGCATCATAAATAGGATTCGAACAAGGACTCTTTGCTTGAGAAGATGAACACTGTACTCCCGGAACGGACCTCATGAGATAAAACAAACCGATAACATATTTATCTGCAGAAATCTGCAGATCGTCCGAATATGTATTTGTGTCGCGTGCCAGTGACATTATCATAAAACCCATCTCTGGGAGATCCCTGGGGTTCTTTTGCGGTTTGAACATTACATAAATCTATCCATGTATGTTAAACTGACATTATGAAAGTAGCTTTCCTGATAAAACGTTACGTAACCCAATATCCATTTCAATACGTCCTTCGTTTGTCTTTACACCACGAAGGCTGCCATGTCAATAACATCATCATAACAATTGCCCCTAAGTGTGAAACAAGGAATATGTTTCACATCAATGAACGTGTTTCGCGACCTCACACATCACTTTATTATTGAACACAATCTGATGAACAGAATGTCAAATGTTACCACACACTTTGAAGCTGGGAATAAAACGACTTATTGATCCAGGCAGGAAGTTTCAATTCGTGTTCAATTTGTCACTTTGTCACTTGTCAATACGTCACTGTTTCAGGTCAGCTGTAATTGCTGGACATTGATTTTCACACGCGTCTCCCATGACACACTGGCTTCTTTACGTTCATATCAGAGACACGCCATCAATGTATCGATTACACCAGGTGCATCACCCTAATCTTGAAATACCAGAAACCCTTCATATCAACGCCTCTCATTGTTTTAGTAGTCATGACTGGGTGTTAAAGGGACACAAGGCTCAGGTTAATATGCAGTCCCAACAACTTTGATTCAAAATCAATTACAACATAATTTTCTTGTCGCCTGATTAAAATTTAATAATGTATATTAATCAAGCAGTGACCGTGGACTTAATAACACAGGGTCGATGCTCCAGTCTAGGACAGGGCACTCTCTACAACGTCTAGACTTGAATGGAAATCGCAACGGTTGCGAAGCATCATCCCTTTAATAAAAACACAGCCTTCAATGCACACAAAATAAAATGATTTCATTCTGTTTTTGACAGACCGCAACTATGAAATGTTAGGCCATTTTTTTAGCATTTTTGATATGTTAATTCTGGAGAGACAAGATTACAAATAATTTTGTAAATATACGACGTTTTAGGTTTTTTTTAGCTTGTGTTCCGTTATCGGGATATTAAACAGACCACGTGCCATAAATTGTATATTATCCTGCATTTTACCACAGTATATTACCGTTAATTCGGGTTTCCGGACGTATTATATTTCATTCAAAGTAAGAAGTAACTCTGATGTTGGTTGAACTCTACATCTCTACAACATACATGTTAAATTCAAAATGGAGCGTGATTATCTAAAACGGCCGCCGACTTCAAACAAAAAATGCATGATTTCGACATACTTTCTGCAAAGAAAACCCTAATCTCCAAAGTGATATATACGTTATACCATGAATGTATTGTTCCCTTAATATTCATTGTTATTTATTAATAACAATTTAGTTATTCTTCATAATGACGCGAACCAGAATGTATAAAGTTTTGTAAGATACATTGTCGAGATGCGTTGCGTAATATGTTGCAATGTTATACGATTAAAAGGAAGAGAACTCAACAAGGTTCTAGAAAACATCACTTGATTTGGTTTATTAAGCACCAGTAGCAGACCATATTGCATCGCACCATAAGGCAATACGCCTCGTATATATAAAACTCTTCAAACGAATAAAAGTATATAACTTAATATACATGGTAATTAAGTAGTACAAAATAAGTACAAAGTTTCATATAAAATGTGACAATACAAATTACAAAAAAACAATATGTATACCTTCGCACAAAGTCTTTGATCGGCAATGGATCAATCCAAAAAGATATATCCTGATATACTTAGGCACAGCTGTTAATGTCCGGTTAATGTCACACTGCCGTTAGACACAATGTCAATGTGTCAACGAAGGACGACGAGCTTTCACAATGACATGTCACTGGTGTCAAGAAACTCACAATGTCAATTTCACATTTTGATGTCAATTTCACACATTTCAAGTGTCATTTCACGTTGTCAGTGGCACACATTTCACATCGTCACAAACGAACTGTCATTGTCACTGTAGTCCTGATAAAAGTCATATGCGTAAACATCAGAGGTGTGATGTTTGTGGGGACTAGAAGGAATCACAGACAGCACGTGGGACGCCCACCCCCCGGGATCTGACCCGAGGGGGTCAGACATCCGATGGAGGGGGTCGAGATGGTGGTGAAGGGGGTGGGGCGATAATGCTGTGTGCCTGTGGGACGGGGAGAGGGGTTCACGTTTCACCTGGGCTATTCTTTTACACTCTGTCAACTGCTGCATCATGTTGCTAGTCACGTGACCCGCCCCTGTCCCAATAGACTTACCCCCCGGGGTTTCTACTATCTTCAGCGTCTCCGTTAAAGCCCATATATAGTTATGAGCAAGCCGCAGAGTCTCAATCTTTGTCAGTTTAGCATCGTCCGGAAAAGTAGGAAGAGTCTTCCTCAATGAGTCCAGCGCTGAGTTCAAATTATGCATCCGCGACCTTTCACGATCGTTAGCCTTAACTCGCCGGTTTTTCTTCAGTTTCATCACAAGAGCCGGGCTTCTGTTCCGCGCTCTTGATTTACTGTACCTCTTCTTTTTCTTTGGGGCATCCTGTTCATCCTTTTTACATTCGGAAGACGTTTCATCCATGGGTTCACAGGCCGTCATACAATCATCGGACGTTTCCGTTAAAAATCCACTGATAAAAGTATCAGGTGTGTCGCTACTGTCATCCGAGCCCATAGTATCTGTGGGTGGGTCTAATGCCCGATCATGTCCCGTACCCCCGGCCCTCTCCCCTATGCTAGTGGTGTCACTCATTGCTAATTGTGAAGCCGTCACACACGAACGTTAGGAGATCAGTTCCCGCAGTCGAGTTTCCATCCTTATTTATAGTCCTGGCTTTTACGCTGCAACCTTCGTTCATTCAGACGTTAACACAATGGGGCGTCTCCGTATCAGAAGCCTTCCCATCCCACCAACCACGGCCAAGTCCGTGTGCGCATAGACCCACTGCGCATGTCTCTCGTTTCTTGGATTAATGTTCTCTTGATTAGCAGGATTCCTACCTGGCCCTGCCCCTGTCCTCAGAGCTGTCAGTTGAAATAGAAATACATTCTGGTATAAATTAACATTTTATATGACTCCACAGGCTCATATCAAACGATGGTAGGCGGATAGCTGAAGAGATAGCGTTATGCACATGTTCAGCGATGTGATGAAGTTTAATTTACTCCACAACGGTTCAGAAACCGGCTATAGTAATATCACCAGGGAAACAATCAACACTATTCACACCTCCTCAATTTAGCGTCAGAACTAGGAATCTTTTCACCGTTTCAATATTGTTAAACTTATTAACACATTGTTACAACGACGAATGTTTTTTTGTAATAAAAGAACATGAAAGTACAACGAAAAAGCTGAAGGTTGAATGGGTTCAACAGCAAAAGAATTGTTACGGACGACTGTAGCTGTTTCGTGTGTTTTATGATGTAAAGCGCTTTCTGCCAATCACCCCCAATTCATTGTCTTTATACTTGTGTGTTTTGAAGCGGACCGCTGACCTGTCAATTGCTTGGCTGCAATACTTTATAAAACGCTGAAGGGTATCATCATACGTTGCTTCGTGTGCAACTCCCCATATGAAAGAAAGGAAGAAAACTATTTCTTTTCCTACTTGACAGATGACCCCAGTATCAATCTAACATCATTTCACTAGTCCTTATTTAACATCAGTTAAACGAACAGAACGCCCTTCAAAAAGAAATTAAAACCTCTACCCGAAAACAATAAATATGAATTAAAACATTAAAAACAACTAAATACTGTTTTAGAGGCGCCATTGTATTAAATGAATAAAGGTTTTTATGTCATTGTTTGTATAAACAATAAAAGAGGTTATAGATCTATGCATATTTTAAAAAAACTAATCGATTATATCTCATATTAGATTCGGATTGATTGTGTAATCCTTAGGAGTGCGGCGCTCTTTAATATAGGACCATAACTCAATAGCGCCACCTGTTTTCGCGAATACTAACAAAGAAAACACTCACTTTGTAAATAACATGCAATAAATATTTCACATTTATAAAGACCCATAAGAAAACGTGCTAAATTGGGGAAGTGGAGCTACTAATTGAAATTCATCCCAATTTCACGAGGAGACAGATAAAAAAAAGCGCGCGCTTCAGTCGCCCAACAAGAGCATAATAGACCCCTGTTTGCGTGCAGCCGAGTGCGGCATTGTTTACACAAATGCGCATGCGTGAGATCTAGAAAGAGCGCGCAGTTTCAAACTTTCTAAAACTTTCTGCAAGGCTCTAGCCCAACTGGAAAACTTGCTTGGCGTTGGATTTGGTGTAATTATACGAAGGTGTTGCGTGTGGGTACCCCCTGAGAAAGGGTTTTCTAGGATATTTAGGACCAGTTGAGCACTTTTATTGACTTTCTGCCTGAATTCAGCGCCAGGCACTCTGCATTTGGCCAAAACAAACGGCGCGGTGAGCGGTGTAGAGCGAATATAATACCCCACCTGGTATATTCAATTTACTCTAGCACTAATAAACACCCTGCTTTCATGTCTATTAAATTCTATACTTAATTGGCGGTACTTTGGCTGCATTAATCATTGATTTGGCGGAGGGTGGCGTTGTGGAGTTTTCACCTGTCCCGTCATATTCGAGCGTATTGTTCCGAGTGCGCGTGTTCCACACAAAATTAGTGCACGACGATAATTTTACCATACTCGCTGGCAGCTATTTTGGCTGCTTATTTACAATTCATCAAGTAACTGTCTGTGATAAAAATCAAGCAGTTAGTTTTTCTAACGAGCATCACGTGCAACACATAATGGTGACATTTTTGCAGGCTTTGGGGAGGCTTGTCGGTGCACATTGAAAGCTTGGAAGCTGCAGGTCGTGAGGGTAGTCTGGAGTGGTTGTCTGCACCTTGAGTCGGTTTGGGTTCGGGAGATAGTTCTTCCATCTGCCGAGTCCGGGGCCCCACACTTTCTCACTCACTTCAAGACAAAGGAGCTGGAAAAAAGTCCATGAAATGTGTGCGAGGGACACGCGTCATCTCCGTGGGCTTGCTTTCTCGCTCAGAACGTTTCCAGACAAAGTAGGATAGAGGCCCATGGTACTCGATGCAACCTCTACCTTCAACGCACCGCACGGCGCTCCTTGCTCTCGTCCTGGTTTCATTAAGTCCATATGTCGTGCTGCCGAACGTTTCAGTCCGCAGACTCGCCTTCTTGCCGAGAAAATTAATTGAAATTAAGTGTGGCACAGTGAAAAAAGAACAAGAAGTGGGGTTTAGCTTGTCGCTCAAAAATGACACCATGTATTTGCTCATAATCAACTTAAAGTCAGCTCGCAACAAAAAACGAAAATTCAGATTTAATTGAAAAACTTTCTTGTTTGAGTCAGTAGCAGGGTTTCAGATCGTAGTGTGGTATTGAAAGGCGATTGAAACTGCGAAATAAGGCCCTTCATATGACTAGCAAGCCTTTATTCGGTCAGCTATCAAAAGCCACTTATATGCAACTTTATTGGATATTTTTAACGAGTGAAAGTTCAATATTGGCGAAACAACAGTTTCCTTTGCAGACACCTGTGTGTAAAATGGTCAATGAACTCATCAGAATGCGAACAAACTTGAAATATTATGAAGTCGAAGTTTGAATGTAATAACCGGTAAAATATAATCACAATTGGACCCAAAATAATCTAACTCTGGCGGAAAACGTGATATAACGGTAAATCCTTTGTGAACAGGGAAAACCCAGTTGAAGAACGGTTACCTGCCTGTCGTCACGAACGTGCGCGGACAACTGCCCACAACGACTAGCTCAAGTGGAAACAGCTACATTCAACAGGTGATAGCCCCACGTGCCAAACAATAACTCGAGAACTTGGTATGTGGCTTGGCCGGGCACAGACAGCGACCACTGGCTTTTGATTGGACGAGAAAAGGTAAAGTTGTTCATGTCAGCCAATCAGATGTCCAGATGGCATTCAGGACCCGGTGGGGTCAGCCATTGTGAGGCGAGGTGGCAGAGTCAAGAGGACCGGTACATGATCTAACCGATTGGGTCGGTATTGTCTTCATGGCCACTGATAATTGTAATCTGAACCTTCTGTGGCGTGGACATGTGGTGTGAAATAAGGGAGTAGAGCCGAGGATGTGTAAATAACTCAAAGGACAAATGCACTTCTAACATTTTCAGTCCTCATACGGTGGCGCCATCTCCATTAAACGCCCTTATATACCAATGACACCTTTGAAATACATGCTCTTAAAAACAATTACATAATCAGAAACATTGTTATATAGATATATTGTATTATCTCATTCGATATGTGTATTTTTTGTTTGTTTGAGTATCACACCCAGACATACATGATTATATTATAGGATATGATGGAATTGGTTGAACACAGTGAGACAATATTCACTCTTTCGATAACAATCAGTGTTGGCCGTTCAATGTTGATATTACCTAGCACTGGCGTCTTCATTGAGTGACAGCTAACCAATGATACTCTGATAGGAAACTGAACCCTGAACTCCTTATTCAATGCAATGGCTATCATTGAACTAGCTAGCGTCATTGAATGGAACTTTAAACTGACGGTTAACTGTTTTTGTATTGAATATTGCTAGAAAAGGGGAGATAACTCTAATTCGATTTGCTGTCTGGCACATCATCAGGGATGTTTGCGAACACGTTGGTGTAGTCGTGGTGCAGCTGGTGTTGTCACGACAGTTGCTGCAACATAGCGTTCCGGGAATACAATCATATATCTGCACTGTACTACTACTACTACTACTACTACTACTACTACTACTACTACTACTACTAGTACTACAATAACTACTACTACTATTCCCCATCCTACTACTAATACTGCGGCGGCCCCTGTGCTTCGTCTACTACTACTACTACTACTACTATTACTACTACTGCTGCTACTACTTCTGCTTCTATTACTACTACTACTACTACTACTACTACTGATGCTGCTGTTACTACTGCTGTTACTACTACTGCAGCTGCTGCTACTACTACTACTACTACTACTACTACTACTGTTGCTGCTACTGCTGCTACTACTACTGCTACTATTCCTCCTCCTCCTAATACTACTGCGGCGGCCCCTGTGCTTCTTCTTATACTACTGCAACTACTACTACTGCTACTACTACTGCTGCTGCTGCTTCTACTGCTACTACTGCTGCTTCTACTACTACTACCACTACTACCAACACTACTGCTACAACAAATGGTACTACAACTGTTGCTGCTACTACTGCTACTACTACCTCCGCTGCCAATACTACTAATGCTGCTACTACAACTACTACTAATGTTGCTGCTGCTACTACTGCTGCTACTACTACTGCTGCTGCTACTACTACTGTTGCTGCTACTGCTGCTACTGTTGCTGCTACTGCTGCTGCTACTGCTACTACTACTAATGTTGCTGCTGCTACTGTTGCTGCTACTACTGCTGCTGCTGCTACTACTACTACTACTACTACTGATACTGATACTACTACTACTGCTAGTTCTGCTACTGCTGACGGTCAAATGAAACAACACATACGTAGCACGATATTCACCTCAATACGTAGCACAATATGTGCCATCTAATTCACAGCAATATCACGATATTCACCTCACAATTTGTGTCATAAAATTCACAGCAATATCACAATATGTGTCATCAAATTCACAGCGATATCACGATATTCACCTCACGATATATGTCATCAAATTCACAGCACTATAATTACATACACCCTGGGATTATATCGAGAAAAACAATTATGCTTCAGACTGTTAAATAAAAGAAATTGCCTGCCACAGAAATTACA